GTTCTACAGTGGGTTTGCGAGCGGAAGAGATTCACCCAAAGGAAGTCTTCGATTGTCCATGTGTACGTAGTTTGGTGCAGGTAAGATGGATTGAGCGGTTTAGGAATGTCGACAGTGCTAAAGGGCGGTTCATTTTCTTTTCTCCTAACTCCAAACCAAGTCCATTCCGTGTCCACGTCACACATTCTTAGTTACTTTGCATGTGCACTGTGATCCGGTCAGAGATGAGTAGGGTTCGCCTAACTATATTGCTTGGTAATTTAATAATGGATTACGGTGATTGTTCGACAACAACAACAAAAGTGTGACAGCGGAACTTTGGTTTTGTGAACAATCAAGGAAATATCAACTGCTTGCCTCCGAAATCCTCAGTTTGGTCGAGGGTGGGTGTCTCGGGATGCGGCTGACCACCCTTCCCTTGCACCTCGAGAAATGCTCCCATATACGACCAAGGGTCTCAAATAGCCTCTGTTGAGGAAACCTTACTCACTGCCTTCTCGTGGTGGAGGTGTTTTCCCACCTAACTGAGAGGACAAAAAGTTGACATCCGAGGATATAACTGGATTGGTGAACCACTGGTAGTTCACCTAAGGTAGATGGCCAAAAACCCTGATTCCAAACCTACTAGGAGGAGGCGTAAGAACCACGCACACCTTCCGGGTTGTGGTAGTGGTCATCGGCTCGATTGGGCATTGAGGTGTATTGGGAACTTTGGACGTTTGACCCCGTCCGAAGGGCGTATGATGCGATGAACTGGACACCGGTTTTTACACTGCTCCACCACCTTGCGGGTCAGGCTTTGGCTAGCTGAAGGCTCCGGTTGTGAACTCCCTAAGAACATTAACCTGCATTAGCGTGGGCAACCTGGCAGTGTTCGGCCCACATGCAAATCGTAGAACGTTTTTCTTTTTTTTTATAAAGATTATTTGTACTACGATTTGTTTGGCACACAGTCTGGCCTCAGACGTGTGTGTGTGAAAAATAACAATAGTAATATAAAACGGATTGCCATTGATTTAGAATACGGTGTTTGATTTTGCTCATGCGATTTTCGTAGAGGAGTAAAGCACCGTTTCATATGCAGACTTCCCTCGTTGGGAACTCGTTGCTATCCCCTCTCCCGTGTCGAATGCATTTGAATGCAACAGATATATCTCTGTGCTGATTGACAAAGCGTGCTAGATGACGGTTTCGTAAAATACTGTCAAGTAGTAAAATCCACAACCAAGACAATTAATATCAACCAGTGGTAAGGCTAATAACTCTTAACCTGACCTGTTCGTGGTTCGAGTCTCGGCTGAGACACACGCATTATTGATCAGTCCCAAACAGATCAATGCAGCTATCTAGTTCAGTTCAGTTTGTACAACCATAAACCATGCGCGTTGGTGTGTCGGTCGGCGTTTTGGCTGCCCATTTGAATGAATCAGTAGGAAAACGACACGAAAGTTGAAAAAGAGTCGAAGAGGAAATGGATAATTTCAATGGACTACGGTTGCCAAGAAATTGAGATGCACGACCGCCACTGTTTACGACACTCAGTATCTCTAACCACCGGTTACGGGGTTCTCTAGTGCTCCTGCTGGATCACCGCAGAGATTTTCTTCGCGAGTACTTACCAGCCAGTCTAGAGAAGGAGAAGTAGACTGATGTACAGTGTGTGTTCAAAAATGCAGGATCACTTTCTCAACCAATGCATTTTATCAAGAATGGTAGTTTTAGTAAACCATTTAGTTTATTAGCTTATTGCGATTTCACAACAAATTTATTCATTACATTACCCATTGTTTTGGGACCGTGTAGTACTTGTAAAAAACTGGCCCACTATTAAAACTTTCCTCCTAAATTGGGTTAAGCTAAGTGTGTGGTATTCTTGAAAACACTGCACATTACTGAATTATGCGATAATCATTCTAGAACCGTTAGCTTTCTGTACGTGTAAAGCTGTTACTCACCTGGTTTTGATGTGTTTCCAATATGGCTTTCATCATTCGCGGGACAGCACAAGCCGTGCCGTTTAGCTGTAAAATACATACATACACATTATATGGGAGACAATAAGCGAATAGGTATCACACACACACACACACACACACACACACACACACACACAATAAATTGCATGCTAAAATGGCATGATAAACACGTGACCGAGCATCAAATCGAGCTGGGGGTGGGGGACCTACCGTATGCGCAAACCGACTTTCCCCGGACGGCATGACCCACTGAATATTCAGACGTTTCGACTGATAATCAAGACAATTTGAGGTACTGGATATCTATAACCAGTGAAGGAAAATGACATGATCAGTTAGGTAGGTAGATTGCTTTTCAGTAACTGTTCTTTTGTTAGAAGGAAATCTGCGAAAATCAGGAGCACAAAAATGATTAGTGGTGATGAACTATTTTGAAAACGAACAAAAAGAAACAAGATTATTGTTGAAAAATAGATGTGTAGAGGTCAGACAAAGCTCGATCTACCAAGGTCAGCTGACTGAACACCTGATTTCCTTTGAATACTCATCCCCCTGGAGAGGTCACTCTGGCAAATAATCAATGGCGAGGAGCAGTTTACCGGTAAAAAAAGCTCCCGCTAAATGGACAGAGGTGTGGGATACCTGAGGCCTCCTTTCGATTTCGTTGACAATCCCGTCCACATTGCACCTGTCTCATTGAGTGCACGAGGTTAAGGGTCGATCCGGAACAGCGGACCGTCAACCAACGCACCAGTGAACAATATAACGAATCGGAACCCGAAGGCCTTGCGCACCAGATCTCTAAAAGTTACCACACGGGTGTTTCGGTCACGCTCCCGCGTTGGATCTACGTCCCACTGTCTTATGGATCAGATTTTTGAGTCAAAGTTTCCTAAAGAAAGTATGTTGCGCCCTCAAGCACATATTCGGAAGTGAACTGAGCATATTTTCATACCGAGGTCATACATAATTAAACACTTCAAGTCCGGCTTCCGATCTCCATCCCCAAACAGAGGATGATCGTGATTATGGGTTCACACACACAAACAAACACACAGGCTCCTGGTATGATAAGAGTGTCTGCATCCGTATGCAATGGGAAGACGTCAGCGTGTCAGGTTGACCGAAGAAAATGCTGTTACAAGATTGGGTTGATCCAGCCCCCAACTTGGTCAGCTATATCTCACCTGGCATGACAGATAAAGTGTCAGCGAGCGTACCGAAGGCTCCATTGGCATTTGTCAACTTGAGACATCTGTAGCGCCGAAGTGAAATTTGACTGTCCTTGAAGAATCGAGTGTATGACGCCGCGATAGTTCGGCCAGTTTTGCCATATGGAGCAGAAACTTGGCCACCACCGGAACATGATAAAAATAGACTATCGGTGTTCAAACACCGCTGTCTACGCAATATTGCATGAATGTGATTGGGCAACCGGACGAGCACTACTGAGGTCAGGTTCAGGTTTTGGGTAACCGCGGTCGCCCACTGGAGCAAGTGATCGATCTCCATAGATTACGTTGGTTGGGGCATGTGTTACGCATGAGAACAGATGTTTTCCGAGGCAGACAGCGGATGGACAAGGTTCGAGGGCGGTCAAAGGAAGACCGGGTAAGAGGGTATGAAAACATTAATCAGGAGACTGGGTCACGCAGGTCCCGTTAGGCTCCCTGGCCGGGCACCCCGAGATCATGGTCACCGATGGTTAGAGACACCGAGTAATATGGCTAAGTGTCAAAAACAGTAGCGATCATGCATCTACTCATTATTCTCGCAACTTCAATAACCTATATGAATTCTCTATCTTTCGTTTGACCCTGCTTTCAACATTCCAATCTTCATTCTGCCTTTTTATCCAAATGGGCAACCAAAAGACAGCACGAAAATGCATGGTTGATGGTTGTAAAAACTGAAACTGAAGAAAAGTGCTAATAATGGTATTCACTTCACCGAACATTTCAGACCCAGGCATCCAGGCTTCAATATCGATCTTGCGATGCGCGGAACTACCCAGTTCGGAAGTTGGCATTTCCAAAACCCTGGAAAAAAGAAATGATCGTGTGTTCATACAATTAGTAACCAAAGAAGAAACGGATTATTTAACACAAAGAGGGAACTGTCGTATTGACCAACTCACCGAAAATGTAACCCCAGATCGGCAAACATTCCGATTTGCAAACGCACCAAATTGTCAAACATGGCATCCGTCGCTCGTACGTCTGGGGCGGTCAAGCCGAACATTTCGACCTAAAAAAACGGACAAATGAAAATACAGGCAACAGATCAGTGGGAAGAAAGCACTATGCATTATCATCATTGTGTATCCCCTGGGATTCGAAGTGTGGCATAATAGTTTCGTCAATTCAAAGTGGTAACTTGATAGATAGAAAAAAAATGAAATGTCTCCTTACGTTTTAAATGAACCTACTTGAAAGCAGACGCACTCCGCAATCGATCATGGCCCAATGAAGTTCAGTACAATCGATGACAATGACGGATAAGCGTAACCTCAAGTGATCAGTTTAGTTACACAAAGCTAGTACGCGTCCCAGTGGAAACACACAGCAAACAATGTCTGACAGTGATGAAACAGCTGTACAACTGTACTTCTCGGGTCTATCCAAAATGAACAATGGCACGCTGAGTTGACTCAACTAACTCAGTTTGACTATACATTGACTGTTGTTTGGTGTGCGACTCGTTATCGGGAATGGATCAATGTATTTCTGTATTCGGGCACATCCACAAAAATGATTCATTTTCGGGTTTCTGTTGATCCTGAATATAATTGGGAAGATCAGAGTGTGACAGTTGTCTTGGCCATCTCGCCACGGTAGGGATAGAGGTCATTCATTATCGAGATCACAGTCACTATGACTATCATAGAAGTATGAGCAAAAAGAGTCATGAAGAGCAAAGTCATTATTAAAGAAGAACTGAACGAGATCATAGGAAGCTACGAGTAACTATTTGTTTATACTGACGAACGGAAGACTTATACCTGATTGTGCCCCAAGTAGCCCAACATATTGGTAATAGTGAATTCAAGGTTTTATGGAAACCGTGGTTGACCGAGGTCAGACAAGGAGGATTAAAAAACAGTTTCCCAATTATCATTGCTTTAGCGAAAGCCACCACAATGATAGCAGATCTCACTGAGATGCAGTCATAAAAGTGCTCATAATTTTGAACGAATGAAACATGATACCGTCAATACAACTTTTATTCTCTCTCGCTCGCTATGAGTTCCTTCAAATAGCCCAAGTTTGCTAATTCAATCTCCCTCCCCCAACCGGGATAGTGTCACGTGTACGATTGACAATGGACAAAACATTCGTCAGTGACACAGTGAATACAGAAAATTTAATACGAACAGCTCACTACATCATCAATGAGCATGCCACGAAGAGCGAAATCATGATACACGTCACGGACTTATTGGTCAAACTGTACACTAAGAAAAAGTTTTCCACGTGATGCCATTTTACAGTTGGGGTATGCTATCCCACGACCTGTGGAAGCGATTCGGTTTCTAATGTCCCATGATTCTCGATAATCCGGTAGGTGTCAGGAAAAAAACCTAGTTAGTCAAGGGGAAATATATTGTTTCCTTAAAAGCACTGGAAGTTTAGCCTGACTACGCTCGAGAGTAACTGAGAATGAAACGCTTAACAAACGAAGGTGCAGCGCTGAACTCGCGTACCGTTCAAAGCAAAGTTACTTCACTGGAGTTGGCAGTGACTGAAGTAAAGATGAAAGATCTAGCTGAAGAAGCGGCTTCAGAATATCGACGATTCTGGCGGAATCCATGCTACTAAGGAGAAAAATGCATGAGCAAGTGATCCAAACAACCAATGCTTGCAACTATGCAGAACTGGCAGACCAAAGATGCTGACAACTCTCGAGCATATAACCCTGTCGGTTTGAAGCCACTACACCGTTCGTCTACTCTGGTCAGCTGGAGTTACGTTTTCCTAGTGGAAGTAATTCGTGAGATGTTGATCCTTTTCACTCGGATTAGCGGACGATCAAACAAACAAGACCGAAAACTTCTGACAATAGATTGTGAAAACGGATAAATATCACCGGATTGTCTCAGGCCGCTCTAATCATTCTGAGAAGGCTGTAGCGTTTGGATAAATGCAATCTCAGGGATGTGTACAAAATCGATTCAGTGAATTCGTTGAACGCCATCGAAAAAGATCCACCTTGGTGAACTGGTGCACACGATACAGTGGCGGTTCCTGATGAGGTGCTTCCTGACGAAAGCATCGACTAACCGCACACAAACCGACCGCAGTGCTTGTGGTACCATCGTCATCTGTAATGTCTTCCGATTTGCCACAATCAAATGTGCGCCCAGCACAGAATGAGGCCAAACCCATTTCGGCCGTACCAGACAGACAATAGGTCAGCTCGCTTCCGGGGGAGGTGCATAGTCGATAAACCTGTGTGAGTGAAACGATACAGTTGTTGAAAATCATGTATATATATATGTAGCAATGGTGACAAATAGCTGGAGATCAGATAATGAAAATTCACAGTGGACAGTTCTGTGAGCTTAAAATCTATGTTCTGAAAGTCTCACTGTCAGACCAGGTAAAATCTTCAGTGACAATTCTATCAAAGCATTCTCTGTCACGATTCATCTATTTAGACAGGTCACCACATGATACGGGAGAAAAGTGGTCAACGCACGTCAAGGTCAGATGGCGAATCACGCGTAAGACAGATCGCTATTAGAACATACAGCCATCAAAGGAACAGACGAGTATTGGGGGGAAGATACTTCGATCGGAGATTTCGCGGAGACTTACCGAGGCTCTTAACGAAACATGTTGGAGTGAAACTGCAAACGTAGAGCATAAACAATTACAAAACCCCGTATTAGGTTTTCGAGTAGAAAGTGAGATTAACAGGGAAGCCCGGTGGCAATTAAACAAAACGATGTGTTAGTAAGAAAGGGTGTCCACGGGGTGGAGGGACGAAGTAGAATATGTAACTGGGGGTCTACTGTGTCCCAGTGGGTTTGTATTTTCATTGGGCACTCAGGTTCATCCGCGACTTTGGGGAGTTGGTGATCTGCGGACGAACTTCGGTAAACGAGTCTACAGATGAGTCAAACACAGTTGAGACGTTTATTAGCGTTTCATTGAGACAGCACTCTGCTGTAGTACAGTTCACACTTCACTGCACAGAAAAAAAACCGGGTATTGCTGGGGTCTTCATTCCATTTAACCGTTCAGTGGCTGTCCATTGGCATACCCATAAAACGAAAAAAAGAATTGAAAACATTTATTGTTTATTATAATTCTACGGATATCTGGGAGACAGTTACAAACATGGGCGGATATGGTGAAGAAAGACGTGGAACGCTTAGGTCTACACTTGATCTATGCAGTTCGCTTATGGAATCGCGATTTGATTGCCATTTCTATCAATCTCGTCATCAACCGTAGCTCATGGCAGACTGTCATTTGAGCTGTCTATAGAATACAAACTCATTCCCTAACAGGAGGTAGTGGTATAAACGAAATTGGCGAGAAACATCGTACCACATCATAGGAATCCAGAAGGTCGATCTATCTCACGGGGACACAAGAACAATCCTAACAAATATTTCACTGGCAGTGGTGCGCACGAGAGCATCAGATCCTCAGATCCGTCACCGGCGTGTCTCACCTGGGACCGTATACCCCGAGTGGGAAATCCACAGGCCTCAATGATCGGCTCGGGGAGAATGTCAGGCACGGAGACCAGCGAAAATCCAGTCTGGTTGAGACGATCCAGTGCAAACTGTACGAGTGCCAGTTCGAGTTGAGCCAGAGGACCGCCGAAATAGTAAGTGCGTGGACCAGCTCCGACAGTTGTATCCGTCAGACGTAAATGCGTACCCACGGGACACACACACTGTGGTTTGTCACTGTCATGTCTCGAGCCCTTGGATGTGCAGAGTGCATCTGCGCTCTTCATTTTCCATTCAACTAAGTGATGAAAAAGATACCGAGCAGAGGTAATCCAACGTCATATACACAAACGGGCTACCGAAATATTATGAAGGCACCTCGAAATGAATGTTTAATCCGTAGTGTGCTTAAAATGTTCAAAATTGCCCTATCGGACGTAATAGTGGGACAGCAATTGAGATCTGAGCGGAAAAGGAGTAGGCGAACACAATTATACAAATACTGAGATGATGATTCAGTAGGCGTAAAGTTAACCAAATGTTTCAGATGTGATGTACACCAGCGATGGTTGCTGACCTCTTAAATCTAATGAATCAATGAATTATTTGGTCACATGAGATTTCCATCAAGAAAACTGTAGCGCATCACCGGATGGGCGGCGAACATTAATTACACCGGAAGCTTGATAAACTCAACGCATTTGGGTGGATAACTTACCAGATCGTTTTGATCTATGCAAATAAATTTGTCGCGTATTCAAAGGTGGACCGACGGGCTGCAAAGCAGAGCACAGAAGAGGAACAGGTATGACAGTGGGAATTGGACACACCAATAAAAATGGTTCAGTTCCGTCAGTTAGAGTTAATCAAATACATACGGAATGACCGAAATAAGCGAGCCAGACATACAATTTGGGAGGGGGGAGAGAGGATCATGTATTAATACGTGAACAAAAATGCAGTTATTCTGCATGTATGAAAAATCAGGGCTGGACAAAGAAACTATGACTACTGAAAGGAACAACAGGTCTTGTAGAAAAGAGTAAATCAAGTTCAATTTACAGCAAAGGACAGTAAACGAATAACTGGGGAGTCCCACTTTGATGGTATGTAATGCATAAGCATTACATACCATCAAAGTGGGACTCGCCATATCAAGAAGCCAAGTGCGGATTATTGGAAAGAGGACAATTAGGGTTTGATTCTTGATGAACGTTAGAATGAGAACCAAACGGTTTAATCTAAGTGAATTTTCGAGCGAGTGAGCAACAGTTCTTCGAGAGAGCGCACAAATTCAAGGTCTCATCACCTTAAAGCAGAACTGAACGAACGGTGGCACAATATACACGACCTTTCAATTTCAGTAAAACGTCGCGTCTACGCCAAAGGTGTTTCAATCCTGCGTGTGCTGCTCGAGCCCTGGAAACGCAGGGCGGTTATCTCTTTTGCTGCGCTACCGTCATTGGTCACGCAACTACCTAGGTAGGAAAAATAATCCACCACAACTAAATCTTGACCATTTAGTTTCAGAGCGGGAGTAGACGCAACCCGATCCTGCGGCACCACTTTGCACTTTGAAGATGCAAAGCACATACCAAATGTGGCTACTACACTTGTCAGTCTATCAAGTGCGCTTTGCGCGTTCTCCGTACATTCGAACAGACAGACGATGTCATCGGCGTACTCCAAATCGCACAGCTTTTCTCCAGCTGTCCATTCCTCGGAAGAGCAGAGCTGTATGCTACCGAGCGCGTCCCCAGGTCGCGGATAGGGGAAC